AACTAAAGGCTTCCTGATTTTGTTATATTTTCAAAATAATCAATATTACTTTTATTGATCTTTTGTGTTCTTTTAGTCTCCGTTTATTTTTCTAATCTTTGTTATTTCTTCCTTCTGACTTTGGGTTTAGTTTGTTCTTGGTTTTCTAGTTCCTTAAGTTACATCATTAGGTTGTTTGAAGTTTTTCTTCTCTATTGATTGTGCTGATTATTTCTGACTTTCCTGCATAGCAGTAGTCATGATTCTTAGTGTATCTGATAGTGTTTCAGTATGCTGTGTTTCCGTTTCCATTTGTTTTAAGAAATTTACATTTTTCTTGTTTATTTTTTCATTGACCCATTGGCCATCTCAAAACATTATTCTTTAACTACTGTTTGTATAATTTCTAAAGTTCTTTGTTATTTCTAGCTTTGTTTTATTGTGACTAGAGAAGATATGTGATCTAATTTCAGTCTTTAAAAAAAATTAAGACTTGTTTTGTGGCCTAACATAATAGTCTATCTTGGAAAGCAGTCTGTTGGTTAATGAAAAGAAAGCAACTGCAATGAACTTCCGAGACTGTTTGGTTTGTAGTACAGTTTAATTTTGATGTTTATTTGTGGTTTTTTGGCTCAGTTTTCTATCTATTGGTTAAAATGAGGTGTTAAAGTTCTCCATTATTATTGTAGCCAATCTTTCTCCTTAAAATATGCTTTAGATAGCCAGGCGTGGTGGCACACACCTTTAATCCCGGCACTTGGGAGGCAGAGGCAGGCGGATCTCTGTCTCTGTGAGTTCAAGGCCAGCCTGGTCTACATAGTGAGTTCCGGGACAGCTGGGGCTACAGGGAGACCCTGCTTCAAAAAGACCAAAAAAAAAAAAAAAAAAAAAAGCTTAAGATAAAAATATGCTTTAAGGTCAATACTGTTTGCTTTAGATAATTGAATAACATCATTATGTGCATAAGTGCTTATTTCTTCTTCTTGAATGAACACTGTCATTTTAAATTACCATTTTTTAACTTTTACAAAAACTTTATTGAGAAGTTCATACATGCATATAAGGTGTTTTGATAAATCCATGCCCACTCCCTCCCCTCCAACACCTCCCATATCTCCCCATCACTTTTTTCTTTTTTTTCTTCTTTCATTTATTTATTTTTATGGGGCTTTTGGCTACTCTAACATTCCCCCCTCTGAAGAGGTAACCCTAAAATCTTTTAAGAATTAGATACAAACTCCAAAATTCTTTCGACGTTTTTGGCCTTTGGAACAGAGTATGTTGCTAAGAGGCCCAAGGACATTTTGGCTTTTAGCCAAGAAACTGGCTACTTTTCTTTGAGGTCTTTTTACCCCAACTGCCTAGCCAATTCCTACCTCCTGGTCTTACCATGCCATTCTCTCAAAGAGCTTCAGTATCTCAGTTGCACAGAGTGGGCTTCGGGCTGCTTTCTGGGGCCAAGAGTGTATGTGTGAAGCCACCCACCATTTCTCAGGCCCTGGCAGGGCAAACTGGGCATACTAGGTTACCTGGATATGTCCTGAGGTGATGGGAGAGTGGGCAGGAGCAGCTAGCTGCTTCTTGAGGCTGTGAGATGGCATCTTGGTAGCTTCCAGAGGAATCTGCCAGCTGATCCACTTGGTGGGGGGAGGCTGCCGAGCAGTGTTCTGGATCCTTAGAAAGGCAGGAGGTGTCACCTGGCTGCTGCTTCAGGCTGCTGGAGGTGGGCTGAGCCTCCTGGCTACTTCAAAGAGTTGCAGAGTGGAGAATGAGACTGCTGAAGAGCTACTCCCCACCTCCTGGCTGGTTCATGGGGCTTTCTAACATGTTAAGCATGCTTTATCTGTGCTTTCCCGGAGCTTAGTTGGATTATATCTGTCTTCTGTGTAGCCGACGATGACCTTCAGCTTCTGATCTTTCTGCCTCCGCCTCCCACGTGCTGGGATCGCAAGTGTGCACAACCACGCTCAGTTGGTTTATAGGGTACTGAGGACCGAACCTTCGGCTTTATGCATGCTAAACAAGCATTCTACCAACTGAGCTACGTAGTCAGCACTTCTTCCCCTTCCTTTTTTTTGAGACAGGGTCTCATGTATCCCAGGGTGCCCTGGAACTCACTATATAGCCAGGGATGTTAACGTCTAGATTTATCATTTTATGAGGCACGCATTACTCTAAAACATATATCTAACTGCTGATGCCTGGGCTATTCATCTTACACTAATTATGTAGAAAATTTTGTTTCCTCAAAATCTCTAATATTCTAGTTGCTCAAATTACACAGAAGTTAGTCCGTCAGCTCCTTGTGGCTTTTATTGTATCTGTTTTAAATTTGTAACGTAAAGCTTGAGACCTGCCGCTTTTTGGTAATGTCGTTTTGATCCTAGAAAGTGGCCGCGGATAAGGGCACGCTGCTTAAGAGTTGATTTAAAGCCAGCCTAGCCAGGAAGAGCGATAGAAAAAGCATGAGAATGAGGTAAAGGACCAGGAGGAGTGAGAGTAAGGGAATGCCCCGGGGTATAAAGTGACTGAGCAGAGGCAAAACGTCACACGTCTTAAGGTTGAGTGGGCCTCTAAGAGTACAGTTAGAGTGGAGTGGACCCTCGTTAGCAGTGGCTTCTGAGGAGGCCACTTCACACAGACTCAATGTACCGTGGGCTGTGGTTGCTCTACAAGCAGCAGGACTACTTGATGTCAGTGCTTCTCAACTTTCATTATAACTCCGTCACCTGTCCAGGAAGCTCTTTAGACAACTTTCTTTTCTCATTATTTCTTCCCTGGATATTTTAATACCGTAAATACATAGCATATCTCTTTATGTACCGTATGTCTATATGTAGTGTGGATTTTGATTAAGATGAACTGGGACCTCAGAACCAGTTTTTATCTGTTTTACCTCCATCACTTCCATTACCTAGGAGTGATGGAACCCCTATTAAGAATACTAGATGCGAATATAAACACGGCTTTTGGCAACAGAGTACAACTAGTTGAAAAGGTAATGTTTCTTTAATCATATGGGTCAGTGATGTGGGGGGAATTCTTGGTGTTAAGCTATCCTAGTTCAAGTGTGCTTAAGTTAGTAAATCAACTTCTGTTTTGACTAATGACTCTGGGAAATGAGACATAGTCATTTATTTGATGATGTCCTTGTGGAAGAAATACAGAAGTTTGGACCAGGTGACAGACAGTGCAGTTGTTCAAGTGTGTAGATCAGACTGAAAATTAGTCGAGTAAGGCCAGTCCCTTCTGTAATTTTAGTGACATATCATATGATTGCTTTCACTTCTGTGTGTTCTAGACATTCATTAAAACTTGAGAAAATATCAGATTTACAAAAGTCGATGGTGAGAGAAACGGTAGTTAGACTAGTTGATACTCCATCTCCAAGAAATATTGGCATACTAAAATAAGGATGGAAATACATATTGTCGCTTGGTCTCAGAAGTGGAGAGTACAGCACACAGAAAATGGATCCTAGCAATCTCAAGTACAGAAAAATCTCTGGGATTTTAGGTTACTAATATTGGTGGGAGTGTTTTCAGGATGGTGTTAATGGCATTTAATTAGTGTCTTTAGAATCCAGATTGCAGGTTAAGTCACAACCTAAAATAATTATACCAAGAGTACACTTCGAGTCTTAAAAAATAACTCTGTGAATGTGATGAGTCGCATACTTTGTGTGTGTCTACACTGTAGTTGTTTTGGGGCAGTGTTCCGTGAATTCTCTTAAGTGGATGTGGACGGTCTGGATGTCCTTTGGGAAGATACACATTTATCTTCACTAGTAAGAATGAATTACTTTCTGCAAGGATATTCATAAGGAGATAGCAATAATACGCATAGGCATTTTCAAATGATTAAAGGTGGTGCATTTTCTAAAATAATAATCACCAAATTATAGCCCCTAAGGTGATCCTACCGGCAGCCTCATTCTGAGCTGTTTCTTTTCTACATTTTGAGAGGCTGTAAAATAAAAACAAACAAAACAATACAAAAGAATATGCTGTAGAGACCCTATTTGGTTTTCAGCGCCTAAAATACTCTGTCATTTTACAAAAAAAAAAAAAAGTTTTTCCAACTCTTAGTAAAATGTTGGACTAATGACTGAATAGATAACACTTTAAGATTTTTTTCAACCAAAAATTTAAGTCCAAAGACACAAAACAACATGAATAGTGAAGTACGTATAGACATTTTCATGATTTTATTAAGAATTAAATAGGCTTATTCAATACAAGAATTCAAAGTCTTCTGAAAAATAGCAGTTATGATGAATTATTTAAGCAAAAGGAAGAGAGCTGTTAACTCAGGACTTCAGAAGAATATAGGGTTAATGATTGTGGCAATGATAGCTTACTCAAATTTAACTTTTATCTCCTTGAGCACAGTGATTGCTGTACTGAATAGTTAGGTAGCCAGGAAGGCTGCTGGGAAGAGGCAGAAAAAGACAAGTCTGGGACTAAGAAGTCACCACTGATAGCCTAGAAAGAGAATCAACAGTTAACAGTCAGTAATTATCTGAATACTGAAGGTGTATGCTTTGCTTTTTATGAGCCGTTTTTTTAAGCATAATCTAACCCCAAGGCCAATAAACTCTCTGAAGTACTGTCCACAGAAGTGGCTTTTCAGTAGGGGAAGCACTCCACCCCAAAGGGCCACTGGTTTAAGATGAGGCTGGACGGAGTAGAGAGGGGAGGACGTCTGCTGATACTTAATTTTTCTTGCATTTTCAGTGACTTGTGATTTTGGATCTGAATTTCCTTTTTTGTGGCAATAAGTACTTGATGGTTAATACACGTTACTGTAGTGCTTTTATTCTGAAAATTCTTTATGGACTACTCATTACAGGTTACAGAAATTAATGAAATAATCTGTGAAGCGGTTCCTTTTACTCTCGCCTTCCCAGTTCCCTTTCAGATTTCTAAGCTGTCGTCGACATCTACAGTCAAAGGGGCTGCACTTTGTGTTTAGACGTTCGTTAATGGCTTATAACCAAATGATTTTTTTTCTTTTTATAGATGATCCTTTGGGATTGGGACTTAAAGCAGTGGTATAAACCTCATTACCAGGTAAGTATAAATGATGAGAGTGTCTGTGATGAAAGCATTGCTCTTTAGAATAAAGTTAAGTTCACAGGATTTCTGAGTAACAACATTTTCCTTAACTTAGCTAAGTTAACCAGAACCTTCATTGAAGTAGATTGAAAAAAAAAACAACTTATTTAATGTAAGGGAAAAAGAAAATAAAAACCAAATTCATATAAGTAGTTATTTTAAGTGTTGCTAATAAAATCTTGGCTTAGAATAAGCTAGTATGTCTATATGAAGCCTGAGAGTTCTTTTCTGTTGTGTGGAATACTGATGTACTGAGGGAGAGAAACAGATTCCAGGCCATGTGCGAAACAATCCAAAGCAGTTGGCAAAACATTTTATTAGGGAAGCAAAAGTGCTCTACTTTCTTTTTCTGAAAAAATTCGTATTGAATTTTAACATACACACACACACATATAAAATTGTACTGCTCAGTGAATGTTCATATAAACGTCCCATGTAACTAGTGACCATATGAAGAAACAGAACATTACCAGCATCTTAGAAGCCTCTCTTCTGTCTCTTTCCTGTCCTTATTATACCCCTAAAGATAATCCCTACCATGACTTGTAGTGATTGAAATTTTTCTAATTTCTGTACTTTATATATACATATATGCATGAAAATGGAAATAATGTATACTTTAAGAGGGTTTTCTATCATATAAGTGATATATGTCAATATCAGGAAAATAAAAATATGAGGAGAAAATAACTTGAAAAAGCATGCTGTTATATATTATCGTAACCGCTAATTTTTTCTTTATGTGGGTCTTTTCCCACTGCAAATATGCATTTTTGTATAGTCTAGTCTATAAAACTGATTATATTTCCTGCCTTTATGAAACATGATTTTTCACATTAATAGAGAAATATTAGTAAATATTTACTTACTTATGTACAGGTATGTTACCTCTGTATTAGCTTTATTTCACTGATTGTCTCAACATCAAGTTTTGAAAAATGAATGTCCCTTTGAATGGCTTACTTTTGTTTTTAAACTGTGCATGCAATAGCCACAACAGACCCTAAGAATAAAATGCCCTCCAGACTTCAGTAAGCCAAATTATGCGGCTACTATACTCAGATAAGTTTAGTGGGAATGCCACACCTGTCCAGAAGTGAGTTGGATCTTTGACCAGCTCCATAGTGGGCTTTATCCATATTCATAATGATCCTCAGTTTTCAATGAAAAGAGAATCTAAATTACTGGTAAAATCTAAAAATAAATGAACAGTAATGGTCAGAACCATGGGCTTGTCAGACAGAGTGCCGGACGGCATTAGATAGCTCTGCTCTTTTTGCCTTTTTTTCTCTTTTCTTTTTTTAATTTTTAAAAAATATTTTGCTTATTATGTTTATTTTATGTGTACAAGTGTGCTGCCTGCATGTATGTAAGTGCACCTTTGTTGTGCAATGCCTGTGGTGGTCAGAAGAGAGCCTCAAATTCCCCTGGAACTGGAGTCACAGACAGTTGTTAGCCATCATGTGGGTGCTGGGAATCAAATCCAGGTCCTCTAGTCCCCTCTTTTCCTCTCTGATAACTCTTATTTGTTTATTTCTTAACAGTGTAACATTATTCTGTAAAAGTGCACATCCCAGGCTGGAGTGGTTAAGAGCACTGCCCGCTCTTCCAGAGCACCTGAGCTCTGTCCCCAGCACACACATGGCAGCTCACAACTGGCTATAACTCCAGTTCCAGTGGCTCCCATGCCCTCTTCTGGTCCTCACAGGCACCAGGCACATGTAGTGCACTTACATGCATTTAGGCAAAATACTTGTACGCAGAAAATAAAAATAGAATATTAAAGTGCACATCTCAAAAATGCACGACTTGCTGCATTTCCGTACAGTGAAGAATTCAGCATTCCATTTCCTGTTATGCCCCTGTCTAGTTTCCCACTTCGCTCTGGGGTTATATCAATCCTGACTTCTGCTATTACAACCTAGTTTTTCCTCTCTTTGAATTGTCCATAAATGGAAATATTATATATATATATATTTCTTTTTCAGTTGTGAGATTAGTTATTATTGCATATAACTAATCTATTCAGCTGTATTCTACTGAATGATTATATCACAAAGTACTTATTCATTGTACAGGTATGCATTTGTTTCATGTTCAGTTTTTTTGTCATTGCTGAGCAGTCTTTTGTTGGCTGTATAACTTGGAGTGGATTGCTAGCACGTACATGTATATTTTGACTTTTAGTTGATAGTGCCAGACCTTTTCCAGAGATTATTGAAATTTTTACTTAACAATCGGCAGTATATGAGAGTTTTGAATGTTTCACATCCTCATCAACACTTGGTAATAAATAATCCTGATAACTGTGTAAAGGTCTTGTAGCTTAAATGTTTGCATTTATTGATGACTCATCAGGTGGAGGGCTGCAGAGTTTCATATGCTAGTCGGTTCCCATAGATCCTCTGATCAAGTCTTTTATTCAGTTTTCTGCTTTTACTTATCATTTAGTGGGAGTTCTTTTTGTATTCTAGACATGAAGACATACTTGTATATTTATATACATGTATATGCATTATATAAGTATCTACTGTATGTTTAAGAAAGTTTTCCCAATCTGTGGCTTGTGGTTTCTTTTTCTTTTTTTAAAGATTTATTTATTCTTTAAGCCTTTTGTATGCGTGTAATGTGTTTCGATCAAATTTACCCTTTAGGTCCTCTCTGTAACTCTTCTCAGAACCCCCCTACCACATCTTCCTTCAACTTTAGGTAATCTTTTTTTTTTAAAGTTATTGAGTCCAGTTAATGCTGCCAACATGTTCCTAGGTGTAGTGCCTTCCATGGAGCATGGACAACTTATCTTGATAAAACAGATACTCCTCCCCCAGTAGCCGTCAACTGCCAGTAGCTCGTCAGCCATGGGTAGGGTTTCATGAGCCATTCCCTCATCTGTGCTGGAATTGCCTGGCTTGACCTTATGCAGGTCCTTTGAATGTAGTAGCTACAGTCATTTGAGTTAATGAGTGTAACAGCCTGGTTGTGTCCAGAAAACACTGTTTCACAGCGATCCTTCACTTCTGGCTCTTAAAATCTTTCTGCCCCTTCTTCCTCGATGATCCATAAGCCTCGGTGGACTAGAGTGTGATACAGATGTCCCATTTAGGGCTGAACACACCACAATCTCTTATTCTCTGCACTTTGACATGTGCACCTTGGTGTTAAGCACCAGTACTGCAAACCGATGAGGGCTGAGAGCAGTGCTGATCTACAACTATGGTGATAATTATATATGAGCAGGGCAGTTTGAGCCTCTGCTCATTAGAAACTTACCAGCCCTTGGTTCTCCTCTAGGGCCTGGGACCTATCGTTGCCCAGGCACTTGGCTCAGCTAACAGTACCAGGTATTGAGTTCTACCTTGTGGATTTGGCCTCAAATCCAGTCACCAAGCAGTTGGTACCCCCAGAATATTTGTGCCACTATTGCACCAATGGGCATATCTTGCCAGGCCGGTCATTATCGTACCTCAGGGGGTTCACAGTCGATTAAGACAGCAGGGAGGAGGCTTCCAAGTCACTGTCAGGCCTGGTTTCTCCATGTCTCCATGTGTGGTGTCTTCAGCAATAGGATTAAATTACTTAGGTATTGTGAATGTGTTCTTTACAATTTTAAATTGTGTAACAAATGCCTAATTTCCTCTTTTGTTTTCTAGAATTCTGGAGGTGGAAATGGAGTTGACCTTTCAGTGTTAAATGAAGCTCGCAACATGGTGTCCGATCTTCTGATTGACCCCAGCCTTCCCCCGCAAGTCATTTCTTCCCTACGCAGTATCAGTAGCTTGATGGGTGCTTTCTCAGGCTCCTGTAGGCCAAAGCTTAATCCTCTCACACCATTTCCTGGATTTTACCCCTGCTCTGAAATAGAAGATCCAGCTGAGAAAGAGCGGAAACTTCACAAGGTTAGAATGCAGTAACCTGCCAGCCCTGTTTAAGTAGTTCACTTAAGTGACATGGTCAGAGGAAAACCATTCCTCTAAGTGTTGTATAATACACACTTTCGCTTTCAGGGCTCAGCTCCTTTGACATTTCATCATCTTGTATGGGATTATAGAAGCAGTTACAAATGCAAATAGTTTTGCATGCATGCTCACTTTTCCATTAAGTTTTTTTCCCCTCGTGCTGGGGATGTATTGGGCACATGTTATACTTACCACAGTTTTTATTTTAAATAGCATTGCTGTATTTAGCAGTTACAATTCACATGGTTGGCAGGCATGATCATTTCTACTGTTGGTAAGAAGTACAGGGGACAAAAGGCAAATTCAGTTCCTGGCCTGAGTGGTTTGTATGGCAGGTCATCAATCTGTTTCATTTCATAGAACCCAGGAATTATTCTTCCTGAATCAAGAACAAATAAACAGTCATAATAAGATAATAGTACTTAATATTTCCTATATTTTTTAAACCGTGCCCACCTTTTTTACCCACTGGCATTTTTCATGGCTCAGATGGCACTGATGTGGCCATAAATTGATATGGAATTAATTTTTCTTGGTACTCCAAAATAAGATTTACTTTAGAAACACGTGCGGTTCTAAGTAGATATACATTACGCGTGTTCATAGTTCTTTCATCTGTTGTATTATTGGCATCTTCACTAATAGCTAAAATCATAAAACTTTAAAGCTAGAGAATACTTTAGGGAGTGTCTTAGTTCAACTCATTCTACAGCTAAGGGAACTAACCAGGCAAAGATGAAATTCAAATCCATTAATTTTGTTAATTGAAGTAGTTTAGACAGAAAGTAGGAAAAGGCAAATTCAGGTTTTGAGGGACTTTTGATCAGTTAATTTGATTTTTCTCAGATCTCAGCATTAGGGTTTAGAGATACAGAAATATTAAGCAAGAATAGTTAGGGCCAAATGATTTGTGGGACTTGAAAACTATTGCTCATCTGGATCATAGGTGGTTAGATGATGGTTTTATATTTTAAAAGATGATCTATTAGTGCCTGTATTGGTCAGAGCTTATGTGAATACCCTTTAGTGTGCCACCTCATAAGAGACACTAATCACAGGCACCCAAAGGGGATAACTATCAGTAACCAACAATAGGACTCTAATACATTCTTCACCAAGTTCTCATCCGGTGTCTGTTCACTTTCCATTTACGTTGATTGCTCTGAGATGGTAATTTTCTTTATAGATCATAATTCTTAAAAAAAAACCTTATTCCTAAACTGGGTGTGGTTGTGCAGTCCTGTAAGTGCAGTAGAGGGTGGTGCATTTGAGGCCAGCCAGGCTACATACCAAGACGTTGCCCCCAAAATATAAAAAGGAAAATAATTATAATCATAAAAGTCAGTATTGTGTTGCTATATTTAGTGTGTAGAAAAGTTTTCTTGTACATTTTAGAAACATTTTAAAATGGTATTAATTCAGCAGGATGTCTAGACAGCTCATTTCCTAAATATTGTAGTTAATTACGGCAATTGTGGGTGCGAGAATCTGCTCATATGAGGAAGTCACGTGAGAGCCAGGAAGGAACTTTCATTCCTCTTGTGTTCTTTTAATTACTCATTAGAATTCCGTGTCTAATTTGTCTCTGACTTTGGAGAACTTAAAGCCTGATGTACTTAAAAGTACCACAAATCTGTGAAAAGATAATTAGGAAACAAAAAGAAATAGGAATAGATAATTTAATAGAAATATCTTATACATGTGTTAAGTACTATGACATAAGTCACAGGCTGTTTATGTGACATGTAGAACTGTTTCACTGTTATGGCTTAAGTATTTGGATCTTTACAAAATCAGTATCCCTGGGAAAATTTATGTATAATATGATTATTTATCTTTCTGAAATTATTGAAGTATCTGCTGATAGGGGAAATTCATAAAAGCAAAGATTATATTAGGTATATGTTGGTGAAACAGTTATTCACAATAATAAAAAATGTGTTACTCTCTTTAATTGAATCATTTGGATCAGTTGAGAATTTAGTAAAAAATTATTAAAATAATGTGTAAGATGCTCTGTACTAAATTTATTATTAATCTAAAAAGTACCTTAGAGCCTTGGAATTTTTCCACACTAACTACAATGTATTTTCGATAACTTCTGCTGAAAATATGACTGTTAAGATACAGTCCTGGTCATCCTGGATCCTAAGCTTATCCTCTGAAGTTGGTTTTCAGCGTCCATCATACATACCCATTTTTGAAAGCTCTGTGTTTTTCTTTCTCTTGAAACTGGGAGTCAAATTTGAAAATGAAAAAAAAAGTATTCTTCAAAGCATTCAGGAACTTTTTAGTAAGAAAAAAATAAATAGAAAAGAAATATGGAATATGAAAATTGGAATAAACAGATGAAATTTTCTGTTTTACCTATACATGCTAAAATACTTTATATTGATGTTTTCATGTGTCATTATTATACATAAATTAAAGGATGTTAATTTTAATTATTTTTGAATTTTTTTAACAGGGACTGAGTAGCAGGAATAGTCTCCCGACTCCGCAGCTGAGGAGGACCTCAGGAACTTCAGGGTTGCCCCCTCCTGAGCACTCTACAAGGTGGGAACACAGTAATGGCAAAAGGCCACACCAAGAATTTGGCATTTCAAGGTAATATCTCAAGAGCCTCTTAGACAAATCTAAATAAAGCATCCACCTTCTTTTGATAAATAAAGTTTGAAATAGTTTTAAAACCAGAAAAGGATTGCTGTATTTTTGGTGTAGGACAGAATAGGTAGTGATTATTAAAGATGGTAAAGCCTGGAGAGCCCCAAAGGTTGGGACCTCTAGCCAGTGTTGCAGCTCGTGCCGCCACAAGCTCAGGGATGAGGCAGAGGGGTCAGAAGTCAATCTCCGGCGTACTGTGCTTGTTCACTGCTGAAGGGTGACAGGCTTCTCAAGAGACAGTAGCATTTAAAGATTTTGGATAACTCATTTCATGGGCAAGCTTTAGTGGAGGGAAGAATTGTTCATCAGCTAAAGTGAGGAAAAGTCATAGGATTCCAGGAATGGGTGGACTTCTCTTCAGAATAGGGTGCTTCCATTTCTGTCCTTATATGGGGCTTTCCAACGTTGGCATGATACCAGACACACGAGGGCAGACAATTTGGGTTTGTGTCTTGTTTTATTAAGCCTTTCTAGTCTTACTCAGCAGTAATACGCATAATCAAGACACGAATTCTTAAAAAGAAAATAACAAACCTTTCCTCAAAACTTAGGTGAGTTGGGTACAGAGCATGTTGGAGCCTTAAAGACATGTCAGTGAAATGGTTCAGGGAAACTAAAATCAGTTTAGAGCATGTCTCCCTTGCCTCCAGCTGAGAATCAAACCTAGAGCCTTGCATCATGCTAGGCAGGCGCTCTGCTAGCATGCTGCAGCTCCAGCTGGGACAGCATTCAAGTTTGTGGAGGCGGTCAGCAGTCCTCTGTGTAACATGCAACGGTCATCAGCAGTTACTGACTTGTAGAAGGAAGAGCCTGTTCCCGGGGCTCTGGTAGCAAGACTGTTTCAAATCCTGTTCCTGTTCAAGGCTGAGACTACTCACATGTTCTATAACCTGTTCAGAATTTGCTTGAAACTAAGTTGTGCTAACATCAGTAACGGCAATTAAGCAAGACCGGGGAGATTCAGGAGCTAAAATTTTCTGAATATAAGTAGCGTTTTCTCTAACAAAGAATCTAATATTTTGTCTTTTGAAAGACATAAAAGATACTGATCTCTTGTGTGGGTAAACACTTCTCTTTAGTTGGTTATCTGGGTTAGTAGAACTGGAGTTGTGGAGGTTCTGAGGTAAGCCAGCCACTCTTCCCTGTTTTGCTTTGTTTACTTTGAGCTGTGGAGTTACGCATTGGGAACAGTAGATGGCAGGGTTGGAACATAGCCGTTCATGTGTTAACATTTCTGTTAATTTATATGCAAAGTATAATCAGATAATTATAATTTCCACATAGTTTTATGGTTTATTAAGTTGACTTTTATAGTAAGTCTGAAGAGTTGGTTTCCTTTTTTATAAAAATTTAGTGATCAGTAGCATAGGAGTGGATTAAGGTATAAGCAGTAAGGTACAGAAAAATGAGAAATGGCCTTAATTTTGTCTAGCGCTTAAAGATGATAGTCTTTCTTTTAAAATGGAAGTAGAATGTGGGAGATGGTGAAGATGTCTTCACCAGAGGAAGCATTATCTTGGAAACAGTGCTGAGTTTGAAAAGCAAGGATGAAACGATTCCATTTTACTTTCCCTCACTTGCATAACAATGTATTTGCAGAAAAAAAACAAAAACTGACATACTGAATTCAAGCTGGTTCTATCTTGCTGCTACCTCAGATGATTGCCTTTGATGTAGAAATGTGGTCCAAAGAAATCTTAATCTTTAACTGGGAGAAGTGTTCATTATGTAGGCAGATCCCGCAGAGTCACTGAACTCCCCTTCAAGCACACTCACATGCTTCATAAAAGATTTAGAAATTTGACCAAAAAGGTCACTAGTGTTCTGATGTATGCCTCCTTTATAGAGACGTCTACCTTAACTGTAATTTTTCTAGCATGCAGAACCTAGAGCCTCTTGCCAATAGATTCCCAAATGTTTTCAAACATAGTTGGCCTGTCATAGGCATCTGTGAAACATTTACAATAACCGTTTTCCAATACAGGTATGTAGACTGTGCTGTACAATGGAAATTTATGCAGAGAGAGAAATATTTTATAGCTGCACTGTCTAAACTGTCTTTCTTAGTGACATGTGAATATTGAACATTTGAACTGTGTCCAATATGACTAAATGCTTGAATTTTAAATTTGATTGAATTCTAGAGAATTTAACTCAAAAGCCATTTGTGACTACCGCATAGGCCTGTGGTCTGTGGCATCTCTAGCAGATAGTGAGTTCAGCTCTAGTTCTTTAATACACAGTGATATTTTTATTCAGGAAACTTTAGGCTTTTGGTAACAAAAGTCTAATCAACTTGCAAGTTTGGCTTCGTCTTGATTTTATTCCAGGATTCTCTTATCTTAGGGTTTTGGGTCTTGATTTGAACTCAGCTTTGAGTCTGATTGCAGATTCCCTGCACATGATTAACAGGATTTCCGGATCAAACCTCTTGTCCCCTGAACATGCCTGAAACCAGATTTCTCTTCCCTCAGCTGTTTGTTAATCTGTGATTACTGCTCGGCGTTTGTTTCTTGGTCTGATGCTGTCTTCCTCTAGCTCAGTGATTGCTCATAAAATTAATTTACCCAGAATCCTTGGTGTTTGTACCCTGTGGTCCCACAGATAACAGTCTGTCTCTGTCATTTCTTGCTCTCTTTTGTCTTCATCACTTTCCTCACTACTTAATGGTTTCGTTGCAGTTACTTGGGCTATTAAATCAACCTCCTCTGGACTGCCAATCCCCAGTGGCCTTCACCACCCATTTCCTCCTCTACCTCCCTTCACAAACCTTCCTTAGCCAAAGCTTTGATTGCATGGTTTTCTAGTCAAGTTTTGGGACACATGCCTGTAGAATGATTCCTAAAGTCTTCATCTGCACCTTGAAATTCTGTTATGACCTCATGGCAAACCTGCAGCCTGGAAAGGACGAATGACCAGCAGGGCGGTCTTTCAAAGAACGAAGGTGGCCTGAGGCCCTGGGCTCAGCGTCTGGAACTGAAAAACAAAACAGACAAAGGCAAAGCTGTTGCTTATTCGAAGAATGAACGTTGGAAAATGATGTGGAAGTCTAAGAGAAAACGATAAGCACGTAACTGGCTTCAGACTTTCCCTTGAAGTCTTCTAATAATCATTAGTTTATTTGAAAATGAAACTGAATTAAAATAACTGAACGGTCAACAAATGCTGTGTTTTCTTGAGACTGGCAGCCTTGTTCTATAAGGAAAAGTAATCTCTTCAACTTCTGAATTTCCCCAACTTCTTTTTTTTTTTTTTTGCCTATTTTATGGAACTTTTCACTTTTTAGCCTTTTTAAAAAACCCATCAGTACTGAGGTCTGTTTAATTGCAGTGAAGAGTTTGTGGTTGCATTAAGACGGACCATTGAAGATAGATGACTGCTTAACAAGTGCCCTGTAGGGGTATGACATCCATATTGGATCATGGTTCTGATTATGTGAAGAAAAAGAATATTCACTAAAAAATGGAGAGCAGGAAAGATCTATTATCTGCTAACTGTAGATGGGAACTTAGAGTCTACACCCAGTAATCGCTGAACACGTCTCTCAAGCTCTGTGAATCTGGATATGAGAAAGACACAGACCCAAAGGAACTTACAAATCAATGAGAGAACTGAATATGTAGAAGTTTAGGGGAGAGTTTAGTGGTTTAAACACTTGCCTTGCAAGCATATGGACCTGAGTTGGGATTCTCAGCATCTTTATAAATGCTGGATGGATGTGGTGACCTGCTATAATTCCAGCACTCAGAAGGAAGAAACAGGGCATCCCCAGAGCAAGCTAACTAGCTAGACTAGTCCTTTTGACTGGCTGTGGTTGATTAGAAAGACCCTAAGTAGGGTGGAGGGCAGTGAAGACTCCTGACACATGTCTCCGGCCTCCACATGAATGCCTACACACATGCATGTATACGTACCTGCACACACATAGGTTGACACACATTACACATGGGCTGACACATCATACATGGGAAAACACACACACACACACACACACACATATCTTTAAGCAAGTTAAGTTTGGTGGTGCATGCCTTTAATCAGGTGGATCTGTGTGAGATCAAGGTGCCCAGAGATTTTCAGGTCAATTGTGGCTACAGGGAGACCCTGCCTCAAACAACACAACAAAAATATAAAGCCTTAAAATTATGAATAATTATGGGAAAATTTTTATGATAGAGACATGGGAATAATATGTTAACATTTTATGATCGAGGCATAAATAAAGACCTCTAAGGACAAACCTGGGTCATCTTTGAGTAACTGGGGTGTGAAAGCACAGGAAAGATAGAAAGGTTTGGGGAGGAGCTTATTGAGAACTTAGCCTAACCTAAAAAGTTGGATGAAAGTAAGCAAAGAATTTAGTTCTGTGGCCTGTTCAGTTACTGTGAAGAGTTTGTGGATCAATGGAACTTTGAGGATAAATGGTGGCTTAGGAGGTATCTTGCTGGAGTGACATTCATTTTGTCTTTGAGCTTTGGCAGAATGTTCATGTCTGTAGGCAAGCCAGAAAAAAAATAGACATTTATGTGTTTCATATGCCTATGGCACCAGGACAGAAATTTTCTTATCTGTTAATTTACTTTGGAACAGATATTAAATGGTTTGTTTTATTTTTTTTTATGTTAGTGTACTGTAATTACCCAAGTTTTCATTTATTTTTAAAAGCCCTAGAAACTGTAGTGAATATTTCAGTTATATAAAACGACTGGGTTAATGATGATGAAAAGCTGTACTTTAGACCAGGGGTTCTCAGAGAAGGTCCTGAATCAGCAAAACTGCATCATCCAAAAACTTGTTAAAACAGCATATCACCTGACCTGTCCCAGACCGACTGGGGTGAAGACCCTAGGGATAGACCTCCAGTCTGTGGGTCCAGGCGATGATTTACTTTGGGGAGGATCAGTAAATTGCACCTGGTGAACCTAACCTGGTTCCTACTCTGTTTTGTGAAGAGCGTTTGTGGAAACACAGCCACACCAGCTTATTGCCGCTCGCGGATGCTTTCTTGCTACTGTGGTAGCATCGAGAAATTGCATCTGAGACACTGTGAACTGAAAAACTGAAAGCATTTATTTTGTGCTTTAACAGAAGGTTCACCGGCTCTGCTTTAGGCCTTGGGCGTTAGGCTGAGGCCTAATGTCAGAAGTGTATAAGCAGAAATTTGCTAATTGAATTAATGACCAAAAGGAGAAAAGGGCAATTTTTATGATTTAACAGTTCTTCTCCTTTTTTAGTCACGGATGCTACCTAAATGGGCCTTTTAGTTCAAATCTCCTGGCAGTTCCAAAGCAGAGGTCATCGTCTGTGTCACTGACTCATCATGTAGGTCTGAGAAGAGCTGGTAAGAAATCATTCTTTCAAAAACACATTAAAATATTTTATTTAATTTTGAACATCAATGTACCATATAGTCACTAGCAATTAAAATAGAGAATAAAGAATTATTTTACTAACTTAAGTACTTGCAGATCTAGAACAAGGGAAATTTTTCAAGGTGAGTATTTTTTTTTTTGTAGAATGATAATTGTGGAAAACAATATAGTTCAGGAATAGAAAATAACCCTTCTTATATCCTGACAAGTCATTTTAACAGATTTAAAAAACACACACATACACACAAACCCCTAAAGATTAGAGATAGGGAGCTAGCTCACTCAGGACCTGAGTTCAGTCCCCAGGTATTGCACTAGGGAAGCAAAGGCAGAAGGATCATAGTCTCCCTGCTTAGCCTGCTTGGCTGTTTGCAGGTCAGTTAGAGACACTGTCCCCGACCCCCCAAACGGAATTTCCTGAACAGCACTGGAGATTGTCCTTTGACCTCCACATGAATGTATATACACACACACACACCCCAAATTTAAAAAAAAAAACAAAAACAAAAAACTCCTAAGATTAGAATTGTTCAGAACTTCTTGGCTGGAAGATATTTTGAAAATATAACATAGTGAGCTGGATGTGATGGCATACGTCTTTAATCATAGCACGTTTGAGCAAGAGGCAGGTGGAACTCTGTGCGATTGAGGCCAGTCAGGTCTACATATGAGTTCTAGGACAGCTGAGGCTGTAGACAGACCCTTTGTCAATGTCCCAAATATATATATATAACAGTAGCATCAAAGAATAGCAACATTCTTGAATTGTACAGGTTTAGTGGGATCAATGGCCTTAAAATTCTTTTATGCACATTAAGATGTATTATGATGAGGCAGTAACATGTTATTGGAAATCAAGAGAAACAGGCACTAGAGGGAGAGCTGCATGTTATATTGACACTGGATTTAATAGTCCTTAGAATAAGTGTTTCGAAGGAACCCAAAGGGAGATGGTGGAAATATATAGAAGCTTTGAACGTAGAACTGGAAGAGACAGAAAAGAATGGAACATCTAGAACTGAAAAGTGTATTCCTTTAAATTAATAGCTTTAGGGGACATGGATGCAGCTCAGTGGTGAATTATTTGCCAAGCATGTACAAGGTCCCAAGTTCAAGTAAATAGCTAAATAAAAGCTTATTGAATGTTTAATAGTAGATTGGGTTCAACAGAAGACAAAAGTAGTGACCCATAAGAGAGAAATAAAAAAACATTCAAACTGAATTACAAAGAGAAAAAAATGAAAATAAATAATAGAAAAAATGTACAAGATGTGGAACAGCATCCAAAGTTCAAATATATGTATGAATAAAATTATAAAGGGAAAAAAAGAATAAGATAGAATGATTTTCTAAAGTCAATGAAACAGGTTCATGACTTGACTCTAAGAGGCTAAATACAGAGCAAAAAAGACCCCCTCGGATTTATCAGGTTCCTGAATTTCATAAAGGTAAAGTTTCCAAAGGAATTAGAAAAGGATTATATTCAAAGAGAAGGTAATAGTCCAGTGATTTCAGTAGCAGCTATGGGAGCCAAAGACAGCAGAATGATGCACATTGAAAACCAGAAGTGCCAGTGTCGACTTCTTTAATAAAATAACACTGAAGAATTAGTGATAGAGAATCTTTTTCACTCTCCTCAACACACATACGTGCACACATGATGGCTATGTTAATGTTTGTGATAACCATTTCATAGTATGTAGGATATATAAATCAGATCCTTGGTTTGTATACCTTGAATTTTTTTTGTTATACCTCCATACAGTTGAACAAAAAGATAAGTAGAAAGTGATTTCCTTAAACATCAGAGCTGAAAGTTTGTTGCCTGCAAATCTGCGTTACTGAGATTTTGCAAAGAAAGGTAATTGAGTAGGAGGAAAATAATTTACATTCACGTGTGGAACCACAGAAATAAGTTAAAAGCACACATCAACCTAAGTAAGTAAGTATAGGGAAATACTAATGAGTAAAAATGGTAAATTCAGTGTAGTATTTCATAATTTATATATAGCAACAGTAGTATAAAGGGGCAGACGGGGTAGATGGATTTAAACTTGTAAGGTACTAGCCATGACTGAAAAGAGGGAAAAAGTTATTTTAAGTCAAGTAGCACTTCACAGATGCATATAATACTGACAAAACTAGAGGTGAAGGGGTGTGATCTAAAAATTTGAATAATCCAAAAGAATTCAGAAAAATCAGAGTGAATGACAAAAAAGGAATTGCGAGAGAGCAGATGAAAGACTTAAGCACAGAGGTCCTATAAAAGAGAAGAAAGTTGGAGAGCTCACAGATCCAGTTATTAAAAGGTGCTACAAAGTTGTGGTCATCTAGACTGTGGTGTTGTCATAGGTATCCTCTAATTCAGAGGAATAGAATTAAGAATTCAGAAATAAGCCTTTACATTTAGGATCCAATTATTGTCAGCAAGGAGGCCAAGATAATTTAGTGGATCTGCACATGTGAAAGAATGAACTCAGATCCTACTTCTCAGCAATTGTCTCACGTTGTCTTACAGACTCAATACAGAGCTTTTAAAAAATATTTTTTATTTTTATGTATCTTTTTATTGAGTTTTGGGGCATTTCATATACTAGATCTTAATCAAACTTCGACCCCCCCCCACTATCCCCTCATAACCCCCTCCCTCCACTGAATTTCATGTACGTTAAGGCCTATTCAATCAAGCATTTGTACCTAGATGTCCCCCAGTGCAAGTTCATCCCCTGGTGTCTAGTCAGCCTGTCTAGAGTCTCTCCCTTAAAGCAGATCTACTCTCCCTCACCCTGCACTAATCAGTTGCCAATCGTTCCTAGGCTAAGGTTGGGGCCTGCTGCCCAGTTCCTCAGTTCTATGCTGGGTGTTGTCTGATTGAAACAGCATGGTTCTTGTGCATGTTGTCACCACTGTTGCAAGTTCAGATGAGCAAGTTCCCAGAGACCTGAAAGCCTCTGCTTCCTTATGTTCAGGCACCAACTCTGGCTCTTACAATCTTTCTGCCCCCTCTTCCACAGTGGTTCCTGAGCCGTGGGTGGGTGAGGTTCCGTCTAGGAGTCCTCTCCAAGGACACATACTCTGCAGTCTCTCCTCTGAAAGTTGGCCAGCTGTGGCCTTCTGTGTGCATCGCATTCTGCTGCGTGAGGAAGCTTCACTGGTGATAGTTGAGGGATGTATAGTATTCTCTCTGCCCCCTGTCCCTCTTTGTTCCATGAGCCTTACAGTTCCACTGTAGATGTGTCGCTTAGGACTGGACAGCTCTCAGACGTATATTCTCTGTGTGACCAGTTGCAGAATTCTGTAATAGCCTCCATCTGTTGCAAAAAGAAGCTTCTTTGGTGAGTAGTGTATGGTATACTTGTCTGTAAATATAAGGATTCATATTTAGCATACAGTAAGAAATTACATTTGTCTAGGGATGTTACAGAGATAGGATTTTCTCTCGGATCTATGACCTCTCTAGCCATGTGTTTTGGCTATGTTTACAGTACCACCTGTGAGTTTCTTCTCACTGAGAGGCCTTTAAGTCCAATTAGATAGCTGTTGATTACCCCCCCCCATAAAAGTACCACCATTGCACCAATGGTTTACTGTGCCAGTTGTTGTAGTTATTAAGCTTTACAGCTGGGTTGGACCATTGATTTTCTCCCTTAGCAGCTTGCATTGTATCCTCTTGAACTATGAGAGCTAGTCTTCAGGGAGAAGGCTTCCAGGTTAGTTCCAGCTCAATTGCTCCAAATCCGGTGTCCAAAATAATATCCTGTCTTCAGCAACAGGGTCTTAACTTCAGTTTCTGAGAGCTAATCAAGGGCTGTGGCAATAGCCTGTGTTATTTTGAGGGTCTCTTGGCCTACCCTGACCAACAACTCGTAGGGTGGTTTCTACTGTCTGGCACTGTGTTTCTTGTTATATAGTCTTCAGGTAGACACATGCACTCAAGTTCAGATATTGTATATGTGTTTTTCAGGAGAAGGGGTTGAATTAATTCATTTCCCTCTGCTTTTCACACCATCTAAGCTTAATTTATCTCTCTTCTCTCCCTGTCTCACTTCTCTCCTCCCTCCCCAGTTAAAGTACCCCATTGCCCCCTTGATAATACCTGTCTCCTCTTACCCCCTCTCTTGAGTTCCTTCTTCCACTTTACCTCCATGGTTCCTTGTATGTCCGTCCTTCCTCCCTTCCCAGTTGAATACCCTCATTTTTCCCATCTCCCCCTTGGTAATGTCTGTTCCCTACTGTCCCCCTTCCGCAGGCCCTTTCTTTCCCTTCACCTCCATGCTTCCTTTCCATTTTCCTGGCTCCTGCTGTTGCATCAGGATACGGACTCACATATAAGGGATTGGGGCTGTGATCCACAAATGAGGGAGAACATACGTCGCTTGCTTTTCTGAGTCCATGTTTCATGGAAACATGAAAGCTAATAGTGTTGGTGAAGGTGTGGGGAAGAGCTGTATTATTGCTTATTAGCAATGAAAATTGATGTGGCCATAATGGAAAACCTGAAAAACTAATAACTAGAAGTATCATATGAACAAGAAGTCCCTCTTCTAGAATAACATATCCAAAGAATTCAGCCCCCTAGGAGAGAGATATGCACTTCCATCACCATTGCAGCGTTGTCAATAGCCAAGAGATGCGAACAGCCCAGTGTCCATCGATGGATGAGAAGTTAAAGATAATGTGTGTGTGCGTGTGTGTATTCATTATTGGATCTTTACTTTCAACAAAAGTATGTGCCTTCATTTTGGTTCAAGGAATTCACCAAGGTTTCTGGAATACTTTGAAAGACATGTCCGGAAGCAGTTTTCCTCCGATTTTGTTTGTGTATTATTCTCCACTTTGTTCTAGGCTTGTTGAGTCACCTAATCTCCAAAAGATTGTAACTCTTTCCTCCATTGTAAAACTCAGCACATTTTCAGCATATGTAGGCTTTCATATATTTACTGAATAAGTTGTTAATTCTTGGGTATATCTCTTAAAATGATCTGCCATTGTGTTGGTACAATTTTAGAAACTTGCTTAATATTGAACTTTGTTTTTTTAAAAGAATAAAATCGAATATAATTGTGTTGGAGAAAAATTCAGATACTTTGCTTGTGTGGACAATCAAAGTTTTAGTTTTGTGTTGTTTTACAAAATATGAAAGACAGGTGCTCTGGTTTCTCTTGAGATCGTGGGCTTTTTCAAAATGTAAAAGATAAAGACCAATATGATTTAGGACAGTTTGTGCTGTACAGAATGTACATTGTAGGAACACTGTCAGTATTTACCCAGTATGTGCTCTCACAGCAGAGGCTGTTTAGTCAGTAGTCATTGATGATGACAGCTGTTGCTTAAATTCCTAGACTGCCTTGAAGCCCAGCATAAAAATTTATTATTTAATTGCTAATACTTTCTTTTAGGAGAAAAAGGCTCTTTATAAAAACTCAAAACGTGTATAGTGAACACATACACACAAATGCACACTTATTTATATATTCTCTCTCTCATTTTTCACAGGCGCTTTACCCAGCCTGAGTCTTGTGAATTCTCCCAGCCGCGTACCAGTGTCTCCTGGCTCTCTAACTAATCGATCACCCATAGAATTTCCTGATACTGCTGATTTTCTTACTAAGCCAAGTACTGTTCTACATAGAGCTCTGGGCAGTGTACCCAATACAGCAGAGTTTTATCAATACCTTAAAAATTCTGATAGTAATCTGTGTAGCAGGCAAGTTCCCTAACCTTATTATTTCTGTTTCAAAATCTAGTAACCTTAAAAAGCATTACCAGTTTTCTAATTCTATATCTGGAGGCAGGAGTAAGACTCTTTCCTCTTTACCCAGCATTTTTTATTATAAATAAACCTTCTCACCTCCAAAATAATAATCTCTATCTAAGGTGAAATATAATGTTATTTTACTCACCATAACATATTGCTAAATAGAAAATTATTTAACATATACTACTTTAGTACTTATTTGCAGTATCCAGTTGGTATGGTCTTATTTTTGCTTTGATAGAAATATAAATTTCACCTTAGACTGCAGTGTTGACTTTCAAAACTATGTTATTTCCTTTAAAGATGGAAAACAGAGCAAAGGTGCAGGGGTGGCTTTGAGAGCCCACACTGCCAGCAGCTGGTGAGGTGACCCAGGATGAGCCAGCAACTTTCCAGCCAGCCCCTGCATCCCTTGCACCTGAAACCACGGCTTCTTGGCCTGGTAGTTCTACTGCCTCTACCTAGAATTCTCCTAGGAAGCCCTTCCTTGCCTGGAAGTGTAAAGAGCAAGGTCTCCCTGTGTGAACCCCAACATACATGTGGGCCAGTGTTTGCCCGTGCCTGTAGGCCTACCTACCTGATGCCTCCCAGTGACACTCTATAAATTAGGATATGCAGGTACCTTGGAAACTGGTTCCATGTAGCACCTAGTTTACAGCACCTAGGATTGCATCTGACTCCCCCAATCCCTTTTTTCCTGTTTGTTGGTCCAAGGGGCTGCTGGGGCCTCCACATTCTTCTTTGATTTCCAGAGGCCTTCCTAACCTCTCCCTGGCTCTTGCTACATATCCCCTGAACCTTTCAAGTACACAGGCAATCTGTAGGGAGAGAATCCCAGCATCCTGCCTCTTGTACTGGCTGGGACTTTGGTCAAATTACTAACTCCCTTTGTCCCTGTATTACTGTGAAGTTAAATAAGATGTGAGTATAAATGGGGCTTTTAGCCTGAGAGCGGACACAGTAAGTGTTCAGAGAAGAGTAGCTTTAATGCCCTCCCTTTGTGCTTGGCCAAGTGACCCTGAGAATTAACCGACCACCTGGCTCTCCCTCAGGAACTCCAAAGAACACCAGCCAGGCTCAAGAGGCTGCCTAACCTCTTGAGGAAGCCCTGGGCTAGGGAAACAAGGTGCTCTAGGATGGCTTGCTCTCCCCAGTAAACACTCCACTTTGGTTAGATGCTCGAAGCAATGAGACTGAAACAACAGAAATTGGGCCTGGAGAGATCTCATCTGTTCTCACTGACTTCAGGAGTTGTGAAGGATTGGCAGTCAGGGATTATGGACTTGAGGGACAAGGAATCCTGCTTTGGGAGGAGTGAAAAAGGTCAAGAGTCATCTTATTGCCTTTATTTCGCTGTCTGCCCAGCTGGCCCTACTAAAGGGCACAGGGCCAAGCTTGTACGCACTCATGCTCTGTGCAGGCCAGTATGTGCACATACCACACACACACACAGACACACACACACACACACACACACACACACAAAGAAGAAGAAGAAGAGGAGGAGGAGGAGGAGGAAGAGGAGGAAGATAGAGAGAGAAGCGGGGGAGAGGGGGAGGGGGAGGGGGAGGGGGGAAGGAGGGAGAGCATACTCTCTCTAACATAATCGTATAAAATCATCACAAAAAAAAAGATAACAGACAGGTATTCTGGAGCCAAGTATGAGTGACCATGCCCGGGATCACAGATTTGGGTTACCCCAAAGTCCATGTTCCAACATGGAAGAAATTTCATGAATGTTTTTACAGTAACAGAATAAAGAAAGTCATAAATTAACACACTGTACAAATACTCTCTCTAACATAATCGTATAAAATCATCACAAAAAAAAAGATAACAGACAGGTATTCTGGAGCCAAGTATGAGTGACCATGCCCGGGATCACAGATTTGGGTTACCCCAAAGTCCATGTTCCAACATGGAAGAAATTTCATGAATGTTTTTACAGTAACAGAATAAAGAAAGTCATAAATTAACACACTGTACAAATACCTTGGTGTGTGTATTTGGTAGGCAGTTTACTGCAAAGCAGGGAGACTTGTGCTGTAGGCCTCAGATGCTAGCTGATGACGTGCTTTAGAGTTTTGGTTGGTGGAAACTTAGATTTTGTTAAGTTAATACATTCCAAAAGATTTTTATCTGTTAGTCAAAGGATGTTAGATCTGACACAGAGGTGGGCAAGAAATGGCTATTTAGGGAGCTCAAGATAAACTGTAAATAGGCTTTGGACCATCAGCCTTCCACACTCTCTAGTCTTTGAAGTGCTACTCATCCTTGCAGGAGGTTCAGTTTGAAGATGTAGCACTCCCCCCCAGGGACTTTCATTTGCAGTGTAAACCCTAAAAAAGCTGCACCTAAGACAAAAAAGCTCTTATCAATCCCTTCCTGGACTCTACAATTCACCCTTTTAAAGTGTGCAGCTCAGTATTTTATTTTATTACATCTTAAAATGTTGTCTAAAAGGAAAACTGTGATTAATACTTCATACATACTTCAAAAAAATAGAGGAGGTAAAACTTCCCAATTCACCCATCTGCCTTGTATTACTCTAGTACCATGACCACACGAATCATCACAAGACAACAGACAGATAACTCTGTGTACGGAGACACAACAATGTTAACAAAATATGAGTGAGTGGACTGTATCCAGCAATATAAAAATGCCCTGTGTGGCCAGATGGTCCTCCCAAAATGCAAGAATGGTAGGCTATTCAGTGTGTATATGTGTGTGTGTGTGTGTGTGTGTATGTGTGTGTGTGTGTACACACACATACACACACACACACACATAGGTACATGTGTGGGGCACACAGGAGTTGCTTCTCTCTACTGTGTGGGTCCCAGGTATTGAGCTTGGGTCATCAAGCTTGGTGACAAGCACCTTTACCGACTGATCCATCCCTCTTACTCAGTTAACATTCTTTTTCTCTAAAGGTTTATTTTATTATTTTTAATTATATTCATATGTGTGTTTGTGTGTGGACATGTGCATATAAAAGCAGTCACCCACCGATGCCAGAAGGGGGTGTAGGAGCCCTTGGAGTTGGAGTTAGAGGTGTTTGTGAGCCACCCAGTGTGAGTGCTGGGAACTGAACTCTGGTCCTCTATAAGAGCAGCTCATTCTCCAACATTATTTGTAATGGAGAAAGACTAACGTGTTACTACAACTGTGTAACAGGTGAGAACTTTCCTGTGCATTTCTATTCAACATTATAGTAATGGTTTAGTTAGGGAAATGAGAAAGAAAACCAAATAAAGCCATCCATAATTTAAAACTGTGCCTATTCATAGATCATGTAGGTCTTTTTAGTAGAAATCCATAACACACACACATGGAGCAGGGAGAAAGAAGAAAAGTTAAAGAAATATCTTCAAATTATGTGTCTGAATAAGGAAAAGATAAACATGAGGGAAATATTATTTACTGTTTCAATAAGATGACACATTAGTATTGCATACATACTAGTAATACATAATATTCAAGTAGAATAGCTGTAATCAAAAGGAGAGTCACTAGTGGAGGGATGCAGGGAAATTGGGACCCTTGTGAAAAAAACATGTCGGCAGTTTCTGGAGAAAAGTTGCATGTAAGTTCAATAATGTTACTCAGCTATACCATAGCAAAGAACATAGCCAAGAGAAAACTCAGAGCATTCCAGATAGGCTTGTGGATGCTTATGTCATTAGCCGTGGTAGTGCAAATCTGGAAGTAATACAAATATCCACAAACTTGTGAGTGAGTTAGACATTTTAGGGAATGTGCCTGCAGTGGAATTTTGTTTAGCAGTTAAGGCCATGAACTGTTGATACACGCTCCAACAAAGATAAATGTTTTAAGTGAAAGAAGCCAGCCTCAAAACCTTACATATTATATGATAGCATTTGTAAGAAATTCTCAGTGGGTGCATTTGTACAGACAGCATCAGAATAGTTGCTGCCTAGAATGAGAATGGGATTAAGAGCAAATCCATGAGGGGACTTTTAGAGATGACGAGAATGTTCTAGAAGTGGATTGTCATGGTGGTTGCATACCCATAAGTGTACTAAATTTGTTTATTTGTACACTCATTCTATGGGCTAAATGCTTTGTTTATCCAAAATTCAGATGCTAGAATTCTGACCCTGAATATGATGATATTTGAGTGTGAGGCCTTAGGGAGGTAATTAGATTATGAAGGTAGGGTTCTCAGAAGTAGGATTATTTTCTTTATAAAAGGGACCCCACAGAGCTCTCTAGCTTTTGTACAATATGAGAAACTGGCAGTCGGAAACATAAAAAGAGGATCTTGTCAGAACTCCATTGCACTGACTGTGATAGCCCACTTCTTGGCTTCCACATAAACTCCTGCTGTTTATAAGCCACCCAAGATAAGGAATTCTGTTATAGTGTCCTGGACTGACAGCTTAAAATGTGTGGACTTTAAGGGCATGCAGTTATACTTAATGAAGCTGTTAGAAAACAGTGGTAGTTTTTTTTTTTTTTTTTTAAACCATTTCTCAAAGCTCTTTGGATTGGGTGGTTGTGGCTGGGAGGTTTCCACTCGAGGGCTTTCATGCGAGGGCAATGCACCATTGACCAGGACAGCAGTCAGGTGAAGCATTACTGGTCAAATTTCCAAAATGGATTGGAAATTCAATTTTGGGAAAGCTGTTGACCTTTCCATGGGCTTCTGATTTGTTAGCCGTGTTCCAGAAGAGGCAGGATGGAAGCTGCCAGTCTAAAGTGTCACTTCTGCTGTCTTATCGCTGACTAAATCATGACACCTCTTGACATTCCAGCATATTGAGGAATAAATAAGCGCTCTTGATAGAGGAATAATAATGAATTTCAGAGGAGTGTGTGGAACTGAAGTGTTGTAGACCTCTTTGAAGAAGAAATTTGCTGGATATGGAACTGTATCTATAAGATGGATCTTACTTGTTTCAGATCACTGAAATTCATGCAGTGTACATCAAATGCCAGTGATCTCTTAATTAACTAAATTTGCTCTTTGACAGTTTCATGCATGTATGTAATGTAATGGATTCTGATTACTCTCACCCACTACCCTCTCATGTCTCCCTTTCTCCCCTGTCACCCCCCACACAGATCCCTTTCCCTGTTAATGTCTTTGTGTTTTGTTTTGTGACCCACTGAGTTTAACCATGGCCATCTGTTTCACCACAGCATCAGAAAGAATATCCATTGGAGAGTAAAGGGGCATGAGCAGTAGGTAGACATCCGAAGGTACTGACTACTCCCCACCCCCTGTAAAGCTTTCAGCAGCCAACAGGTCAGCAGAAAGACTTAGGGCCCCATGAACCCTTTCTCTGTCCATGACAGAGCTTGTGGACATGCTTAGTCGTGTATAGGCCCAGCACAGGCAACTGCAGTTGCTGTGTGTTCACAAATGCAGTGTCTGTGTCATGTCCAGAAGACAGCATTTTGCTGCCCTTCTCCTAGGCTCCCAGCTCTTAAGATTCCGTCTACCCCTTCTTTGGCGATATTCCCTGAGCTTAGAGAGGGTGGTATAAATGTCCTCTTTAGAGCTGAGTACTCAACAGTCCAATTTTCTTACCACATAGGAATCTGAGCGTCTCCGTAATGACTGTCATTCTCTGTAAAGAGAAGTTTCTCAGATGAAGGCTGAGGGTAGCTTTTGTCTATGATTCTAAACATCACAGATATTCAGAAGGAAGCCTGAAGCCGTGTCAGTTTAGCCAGACAATAGTAGTCAAGTTCTCACATGAGGCCAGTGACCCTCCCCAGCAATGGGTTTTTGACCTGCTTTGTAGTACCAGATTTGAAATCCCTCCTATGGCGTGGGCTTCAGATTCAATCAGACAGCAATTGACTGCCGCCCCATAACAGTCGTGGCACTATTGCACCAGTGGGCACATCGTGTCTGGTACCTTGAGAGTGTGGTTTGTAGGGTTCCTAGCTGTGGTAGTCACTGATGCCTTTTCTTCCCACAACAGCCTGCATTAGCACTTCTGGCCAGTAAGGAAGACACTTCCAACTCAGTTCCAGCTTGGTTTCACATATATACATACATACACACACACACACACACACACACACACACACACATATATGTATGTATAGTTATGAAGATAGATGTATATATTTAAAATATTTTATTATTTTTACTTTATATGTATGAATGTATTGCCTGCATGGTTTTTAGTCAGTTGCTAGTTTAGAATACCATTGAAGTTGTTGTTATTTACCAAGAATATTTGAGTATCTCAGCTACCCTTACCTACAGTCATTATTAAGTAAAAATAATTTACTATTGCCAGCACTACAGTCCAGTATAGTTGACCTGATAACTGAGATGGGTACTAGGTGTCACACAAGTGGAAACCTGTCCAACCTGGAGCACAGGATGAAGAAATGAATCATGTGCTGGGTGACCTGGAGCAGGACAGTGAGATTTTGGCACCTTCTTCAGATGGGCACACAGTTTGAAATGCATGAATCGTTTTATAGAATTTCCCATGTATTTTTGGACCACAGTTGACCATGGGTGACTGAAACTGGAAAGTCAAACTGGATAAAAAGACAAAAGTCTATTTTAAATTTTATTTAATACAATAAATGTTTTTAATTGGAAAAATAATATTTTCCAATCAATAATACTTTCTGATCATCAGTTAGTGAGTTTGTTATAATTCAGTGTGTTAGGCTCAGAACTGATTAACATTTATTCATCACCTTTTATGTGTAATCTCTAGTAAGGTGTCATTATCTACATTTTATGTGGAAAGCTTGCCATTAATTTTAAGTACAAACATCAGGTTTTGAATGTAGTTCTGAAATCCAGCTTGGAGGAGTACTTTTTCTCTTTGTGAGACAGTATTTCTCTAATTCGCCCATGTCAGCTTCAACTAGCGACCCTGCCTCAGCCTCCCTGGTAACCTGCATTGCAGGCATGGGCCCTGCTCGGTGAGGACTCCTCCTTTTTAAGACTTTTTCTTTTTATATGTATGTTTGCCTGCATGTATATATGTGTACTATGTGTGTGGCTTATGCCCCGGAGGCCAGAAGAAGGCATTGGATCCCAGAACTGGAGTTACAGATGGCTGTGGGCACCTGTGTGGTATGAAGTTCCTCACCTGGGTCCTCTAGAAGAGTGGAAAGTGCTCTTAACTGCTGAGACGTCTCTCCGGCCCCTCAGTGAGGACTCTTAAGAACTCACAAGAGCCCAGTGGTGGCTCATAGCTGTAATCCAACACTTAGGAGAGTGAAGCAGGAGCCTTACCATGAGTTCAAGCCCAATTTGAGCTGAATGTTGACAGCAGCAAAAGACCCCTACCACATAAACACAAACCTCAATTTTACTTTTTTTTTTTTTTTTTAAAGGAGAAGGCGTTTAGGCCTGTAATCATAGCAGCTTGTGAGGATGAGGTGCGAGGATGCTAGTTCACACCAGCCTGGACAGTTTACTGAGATGCTGTCTCAGTAAATCAGTAAAATGAAAGGTTTAAAATTCTGTGTATTGGAAAGCACAGAGATCCTGACTTGGAAAGCCTGATGAATTTTCATATATTGTGCTGCCTGTACCCGGGTCTAGAAACTAAGTGTTGCCTTCAAATTTCCCTTTATGTGCCCTTCCAGCTCCATCCCCTGAAGGGATAATTTCCTGTCTTGTAGTGTTCCTGTGTACGACTCATGCTTATCATTAAAACATTTAAGAAATTACTGTGTGTGTGAATGATGGGGGACATGCATACCACGGCAAGCATGTGGAGGTCAGACAGCTTGATGGAGTCTGTTCTTCCACCTTTACGTGGGTTTTGGGGACGAAGCTCAGGTCACAGGCTTGCATGGTGAGCACCTTTGTCTTGCTGGCCCGCATGTCAGTTCTAACACCCTTTTTACAACTTCATAAGGAGACTCCCAGGATAGGAACCTTTTCCCTCCCGACTTTCTTCACTGACCACTTTGTCCCCAAGAGCCCACCCATGCTGCTGTCTGTAATTGCCTGCATTCCTGTTGCTTAATAGTGTTCAACTGAGTGAAAACATTGCAGTTTACTCAATTCCTGATCGGTTTGGGGAAAAATGACCTGTTTAGGGTATTATACTGTTTGGCTACTAGTGTTATTCTGCCTTTCTGTGTACCATGAGAAAAAAACAATAGTATATAGGCAGAGAGATAACACACAATTCATCTTCTTGTGGTTTAAGTTTACATGTGACTTAATTGTATTCATTTATAATTATGAATTTAGAGTTTTGGTATCTAAATCTCTCAGTTGAAAATGTTTACATCAAATTGACATGAAAATTCCTATTATAGGAACTGACTTTTTCTGTTTCTCGCCTTTATAAAGACCCCTACTGTTCTCTTTCATACATGATATATAAACTGAGCCCCAAATGTGAATTATCTGTGTTGTCTGATCACAAGGTACCTGTGAAAAACAGTTCCGCAAGACACAACTTAATGGTGTGATTAAGTAATTTAAACTGAGGTGTGTTATGGTTCACTTTATCTGATTATTTTAAAATCAGTAACCAGTTTTCTTCTGAAGCTGTCCACATCAGGCAAATTCTGTGTTCATTTATCACTATATATACTTTTTGAAAGGTGAAGAAGATACCACCATTTTCTCAAAAGAGTCATTCAATATCGGGGGAACTCAAGAAGAGGAAGCAGAGAAGAAGGACTACAGGAAATTAGTTTTGGAAGGTGATAATCACCTAACAGAAGAGGCACAGCAACCAAATGTAAAAGACAAACTTTCAATATCATTATGTTAAGGTGAAATATAATACGAGTTAGTACTGGTTTCATTATTTTTACCCAGAACAAGATTATTAATATAATGAGATTTTAATTTTTTCACTGAGAAGTCACAATAACCACAGTAATGTTTAGGTTATAACTAATAGTTTTAAGCCTATCATCAGAGAACCACATTTACTTTTGCACGAACATTTTATTTAATTTTATAGTAGATATATTTTATTCTGTTATTTCTTAATGGTGTATTTTGAAGAGTGGAGACTGTGCACAGTCATCACAAAACAAAGAGAATAATTTCTTACCTGGGCTGACAAGATGGCTCAGTGGGTAAAGGGGCTTGCTGACAAGCCTGCTGAACTGAGTTTGATCCCTGGAACCTACATGGTGGAAGGAAAGAACTCTGACTCCCAAAAGTTGTCCTCTGTCCTCTACATGCCCATCCTGGCACATGTGCGTGTACACACATACACATCATGAACATACACAAATATTTTAAAAGAGAATAATTACTTAAACATTTTTTTTCTTGAAGTTCAATATTTAAGCTCATAGAGCAAAAGACCACTATTTATTTGAGGATGCTCACTTAGCAATAAGTATCATTGTAACACAATGAAGGTTTTTTTTCCTTAGGTGTTGGGAACTATAATTTCTAAAATGAAAATGATGGATTTCAGATTTTTGTAGTCATTTGGAAATAGAAAACTTTATCTTTATAATCAATATAAAATCAGCTTTCTGATAATAATAAGACATATTTAAAGCTGTCTCAAGATCACCTTCCATATAGAGAAGGAATAGGAGGCAAGATGAAATATTTTTGAGAAACCAACTACATACAGAGGAGACCATGGGCCATTCTTAGTGTTCAGGTCAAGCATTCTCATTTAGATGTGGGTTTAAAATATTTATAAAGGGCGATGTTGTTTTCTCCTCTGTTAACACAGATTGAACAGGAAGATTCACTAGACTTGATGCCAGTAGAAGACTACGGTTCCTTGATTGAGGAGATGAGCAACTGGAATTTTCAGATTTTTGAGCTTGCAGAAAAAATGGGAGAGAAATCAGGAAGGATTCTCAGTCAGGTTTGTTTTTCAAGTATCTATTTTATTACTGTGTTTTCCTTAGGACTTTATAAAAGAAGAATCCAAATATCATGATACTGGTTTAGGTTCCTGTTCAGCAGTGGCATGGCCATTGAATTTATCTTCGCAGGTATTCCTCAAAACATACAAATAGGTGTGTAACATGTATGTGTGTATGTATGTATGTATGAAAAATCATTTATTGAACTGTATTTTGAGAATTTAATTTAGGATAACAAAGTAATAAATATTTATTTTTTCTTGATTTTTGTGGTTGAAAAGGAATGAAAAATGATTTAGTTCCAACTACTGAGCTGTCCCTTCATTTTATTAACTGATCTCCCTATACCTAGGATGAATAGTTCGTCTAACAATAGAACCAAGAGTCAAAATTCTGTCTGATCAGTCCACATAACGGGATCAAGTTCACCCTCCTAAAATATGAATCTCATCTAGTCCCCTAAAATCTTATCTATGAAATGCAAAACCAAAGACATCATGTGGCAGACATATAAGGTCCTTTTGTTGAATTCTTTAGGGCCCAAAATGTGATACATTTATTTTCGACTTTTTAATAAACATTGGAGAACGGAGTAGAATTCACTGTGCCTTTCAGTACGTAGGACTAAACAACTAAAGAGAAGATGGGAGAAAGTTGGAATTGGGACATGATTATATGATACGCTTTCTATGGCTTTCATGGGCCTTAGAGTGACATCTTCCTGGCTTATTTCTTGGAAAAAATTAATCTTAGAGAAGCTTTCAATACATTAACTTAAAGAAATACATTGGGGGCAGGCTGTGGAGAGATGGTCAGCAGGTAAAAGCCTTTGCTGCTCTTCCAGAGGACCCGAGTTCAGACACCAGCATCCATTTTGGTGGTGCCCAACTTTCAGTAACTCCAGCTCCAGGGGATCTGACTCCCTTTTCTGACCTCCTCCTGCAGCACATACAAGTGCTGTACAGCATATACACATACACACACACACACACACAGACACACACACACACAAATTATATATATATATAAAATAAAATAAATGCCTGACTTGGTGGCACAGGCCTATAATCCTAGCTATAGGCTGAGACAGGAGGATCTCAAGTTCAAGACCAGCCTAGGCAATTCAATGAGACTCTGCCCTAAAATAAAAAATAGACTGTGGATATAGCTCAGTGTAGAATACTTGCTTGATTTGTGGGAGGTCCTAGGAGGATCTCAAGTTCAAGACCAGCCTAGGCAATTCAATGAGACTCTGCCCTAAAATAAAAAATAGACTGTGGATATAGCTCAGTGTAGAATACTTGCTTGATTTGTGGGAGGTCCTAGGAGGATCTCAAGTTCAAGACCAGCCTAGGCAATTCAATGAGACTCTGCCCTAAAATAAAAAATAGACTGTGGATATAGCTCAGTATAGAATACTTGCTTGATATGTGGGAGGTCCTGAGTTAAATCACAATAGCATAAGAAAAAATACATACATTGATTACATTCCTAAATGCATTATAAAAACATACTGAACTAAAAGATATGTTATGATTTTTAAAGTGAACTTTATTTTCATTTAGGTTATGTATACCTTATTTCAAGACACTGGTTTATTGGAAACATTTAAAATTCCCACTCAAGAATTCATGAACTATTTTCGTGCCTTAGAAAATGGCTACCGAGACATTCCTTGTAAGTATTGACACACCTTATTAAGTTCAAATAATAGTGATTTTGGAAATTCCCTCTTTCTTTTCAGATAGTTACTACACATTTGAGAAATTTTAACAAAAATTTTATATTAACCTAGTGTTAACTGACTACTGTTGACATTTTTGGTATCTGCGCTCCAAGCCTTTCATCTTACATAAATTTATTTTTTGTAAAGAGGATCATAATAAATTATACCCATTTATAATCAATTTTTTTCACTTAAGTGTTGCATAGTGTACACCATTTTGTGTATATGTATATGTGTGTGGGTGCACGTGTGTGTGTGTGTGTGTGTGTGTATTTGTGTGCATATGTGCATGTGTTGGACAGACCACTTCAAGTATCAATTCTTATGAGTTCCAGCACTGGGATTGAAATTGTGCATCATAGGGCCCGGCTTTGTTTTGTTTTGGTTTTGAGACAGGTTCTCCTTGTAGCTCCCAGGCCTCCATCTCATAGAGATCTGCCTGCCCCGTCTCCTTAGTGCTGGGGCCATGGGCATGTGCCACCACACCTGGCAGTCTTTTATGTTAATTATCTGAGAACCTTATATTTCAAATGTTTGCGAATATTAAATCAGGAATTTCAGAAAATTCTTCATTTAAATTTAAAGTGTATCCACAAATTTCTATTTTTAACTGTGTTCTGACTTATTGAATGACGGTTAGTATTTATTTGATTTTATGTTAACTATTTCTTGAGCTTCATGTTAGGAAAAGTAGGATTTTCTTTACGTGTTAGGCCATTCTGTTGTTTCCCTCCACATGGGCAAAATATAGAGTAAATCATTCCTAAGCTGACTAACAGTAATGTTTACTAGTTTAACGTGACTTATTCATGCTTTAATTTCCATTTAATCTTTATAGAAAGCCTAAAAGATCAGTATTTTTCACTTTTTGAGCAAAAGCATAAGTACCCAGAATATATAACTAACTGTTCTAGAGCAAAAACTATTTTCTTTGTGTATGTGTGTGTGTGTGTGTTTATGTGCATATATGCATGCAAGTGGACATTCTGTGTGCACACAGATACTAGAGACAGACTTCGGAGTCCTCCTTCATCACCTCCTGCATTATTTCTATGTGGCAGGGTCTCATGGAACCAAGAGCTGTGCTGGTGGCCAGGCAGGCCTCCTGTGTTTGTCCGCTTAGCACTCGAGTTACGGTGCACACACAGCCAGGCCCGGCTTTTCACATGGGTGGTTGGAGATAAACTCAGGCCCTTATGCTTGCACAGGAAGTACTTTTACCTCTAGCCTCCTCCAAGCTGTTTTCTGTTCTGTGTCTCCACCATACACAGTGGTTATCAATAACCACATGATATTCATAAAAGCCATGAAGTAGAAATCCTAATATTTTTCAATGCCTTTCAGTTATCTTTATCTTCTGTATCTGTTTTTATGTCCTACTGTGTTTTCATAGTATATTTCAAAGATTTTAAAGGAAAATATTTTTAATATATCAGGCTATCTTTAAAATAAATTGAACAAAATGCAGTTGGGAAAGATTTTTAATTTTTAATTTATGTGTATTTGTGTGTCTGTGTGAATGTATGCAATGTATGTGTGGGTTCCCACAAAGGCCAGGAGAGGACATCAGATTCTGTGGGGTTGGAGTAGAAGCAGTTGTGAGTCACTCGGCATGGGGCCTAGGAACTGAACATCATTTCTCTGGAAGGGCAGCAAATACTCTCACAGGTTCTCTGAGCCATCTTTCCAGCCCTGTAGGAAATTGCTTTCGTTAATGTATCTTATTTATGGCGATATAGTATAACTAGAAAATTCTTTGACTTTTTAAATGTGTGTGTCAAATGTGAACAGAATGGTTGCCTTAATAGATATTTTGGTGACTTTAGATCATAATCGTATACATGCCACAGATGTTCTGCATGCAGTTTGGTACCTGACAACACGGCCGATTCCCGGCTTGCCGCAGATCTGCAATAATCGCGAAGCAGGAAGTGAAGCAGGTACTCCTCCTACAAATCTTCCTTTCAATTATTTAATTAGGGATAGTAAATCAAGCTGTCTCACTTAGTGGCCTCTGTTCTTTAAATTTTTTCTTCAAGTAAATTTGTTACATAGAAAAGATTGTGTAAGTTCTGATGCATAATAATGGCATAAAAATTTTAAGCCTGTTAACTGTTTTAAGGACTAGATTAAGATCCAACACTGTTGTTTGTAACCTGTTTCCTTCTCTGCCCCCTCCACTGAGATGGCCAGTATCTTGAATATTTCAATACTTTTTTATTTTTGTTCCATGTATATCATATATGTTTAAAGCATGTAGTATCACCGAAATGGAACATATTTAAAACTCTCACACAAGTATTTAAATATTTTTAAACCTTTGAAAACTTTGAAATTTTGCTTCCAAAAAGTTAACACTGTCTCTTATCATAAATACACTTAAAGTGTAATAAATTATAACATTCCCATTTCTGTTATTTGAGCTTATAAAGTGATGAAATACTCCAGTACGATACAGATTCCGCTCAGCTGTGGATGCCTGAGACATATTAGTGCCATTATAATCAGTGTAAAGGTCACGGACTCAGCCACAGTTTTCCACGTGGCCGTTGAGCGTAGTGGCGTGCGCTGTGTCTCTGGTTCTTTTGTGTCTGCTATCTGCTTTGTGCTCTCTGGAGCTCTTCACTGCTCTTAGCAGTTTGCCTTTCTCCAGTGGAGATCATTTTCTTTGCCTCTTTTGTTTATAGATGCATTAATTTTGTCTTAGAAAAATACTTTAAAAATTCACATTTGGAGATACAATTCCATTATATTTTAATTTTTTAGTGATTGCTCTCATTTCTGTTAACAAGCCTGCCCTAGTTCTTACTGAGAAATATAATATGTAAATATAGCACGTTTCTCTTCAGCATTTGTTTTCAGTGTTTTATGAAGCACTCAGGTTATTTCCTTCATAGTCATCCTAGTTAGACAATGGGATTCACCTTGCATGTTTTTTTTCCTTTCTACATACCTGTTAGCACAATCCACGTGTGCTGTGCATCATAGTATACGTAGCTTTCCTTCATTCTCTTAGTTAGGGACTATGCCAGATTTTCCATTCTGTGAATGCTAGAATAGTCTCATCCCATATGGAATCAAGGTGATCTGTTGGTGAGGTAATGATGAATAGCTCCTATTGGGACGAAGCAGTGAGCATCCTAGAAGCTGGATAAGGGTACCTTAGGATGAGAGAAGATGGGGGAGAGAGGGACAAAGCGGGGGGAGCGAGGGAGAGATGAGAGAGAGAGAGAGAGAGAGAGAGAGAGAGAGAGAGAGAGAGAGAGAGAGAGAGAGAGATGGAATATGAGAGAATGACTATCATTCTGCTCAACAGAGTTTCCTAGGGATCTAGTCCAAGACCTGTGCAGATAATCCCCTGCAAGTTGAGGGACAGCTGCCCCAATCCATTAACTCTAAGGCTGTGGATTTTATGTGCAGCCCAGAGTATGAGACCACATGAAATGCTTTCCAGTTGTGCAAGTTACTCTTGAATATGACCAGCAGATCCAGTAATGCTCACAGTAACTTTGGTGGGCAGGACTCCTCCGTGGAGCCTCTGAAAGGCCACTATATATAAATTCATATACTATATGGACACAAAGCCAAGATAACTTCCTAGGCACCTCTTCTCCTTTCTGTAAAACTCCCTAGGTTATTACTGTATTCTGGTAGATTTTGAAAACTAAGTAACCACATGACATACTAATAATGAACTTAGTGCCCTCTGACCCACCAGTATCTTCTTTAATTCATATTTATGGCTTCATGGGAAAGTTCCTGTAACCACTTAACTGAAGGAGAAGAACCAGAAGGCCAGACTTACCGATGGCTCTGCCCAGTGTGCTGTCCCTTCTGAAAGTAGATGACTACATCTAGCTTTATAGGCTCAGACAGGAGTCATACAATCAGATAATAGGGGAGGTTAAATTATAGCAATGAGCAGAGTGTTAAGCAGTGAATCTCCTTGTTCACTTGGTCTAGAAAGAGAGATGGTCAGAGGAAAGGATCTGCAGTGATTCACAGCCAGTGGCCAGCAGCTCCCTTGTGTGCCTAGAGATTTAGAAGCAAAAGGATGAGACAGTTGGCCAGGAGTTCTTGGAAAAAGGTTTGTATACAGAATGTCCCAGTGTGGGCACAGAATTGTATTAGCTTTCCATGTGATTACATAATAAACTGTCACTTCCTCTGTGTGTGTGTGTGCACACGAGAGCTTGTGCATACACCACACACACACACACACACACACACACACACACACACACACACGAGAGTCCTAATAATTTTCATTCTCTGCAGAAACTTGACAAAATTAACTAACAGTATCTATTGTAGAGGAGGCTTTTCGTAATCAGCTGGGCAGAATGATGTCTTCTCTTGTTGGTTACCAATCTTTCCCCATCTACTCCCGTTTCTCATTCCATGGGGTTAGGAGCAATACGGTCAAGATAGCAAGAGTAGAGATTATGTATGGGCTCAGTTTTCTTACTGAGGTTGACCTGGCCCAGGAGTCTGATGAATGCCCATTCTGGCCATAGGAGAGACCAGTGGTGAGCCGTGTTTGACACAATTCCTGGTGGAATCATCCACCTCTAGTGATAGGTTAATTTCACTGGATTCCTTTTATGGGGAGAAAACTTTTCTCCGTTACCTGAGATAGAGTTTATGTCTCAGTGTGTCACCACCATCATCAATGGATTTGCTCAATGTTTATTCATCAAGTTATTGTAGACAGTATTCCACCAGGTCAGATAACTCCCTTTACTGCAAAAACTTGTGGAAATTAGCTTATGCTTACAGAATTTATTGATCTTCCCAAAACCTTATCACACCACAGCTGGACCGAGTTAATGATGTAATGACATTACAAACTCTGTTGTGACCCTTGTTAGCATAAACATTTTGTGGAGTTAGAAAGCTGTCTCACAAGATGCTGTTTTTTCTCTGGGCTAGTAATCGATATGTGGTTCATTTCCACCATGCCCCAGATGCATGCCTTTTCCATTATTGCTCATGCTTTTTGTGTCTCATTTCAGAAAGCTCCCTTTAACCCAAAGTCAGGGAAGTCTGTTTTTCCATCTAAACAGTTTATAATTCTTGCTCTTAAGCTTATGTCCATGATCTGTTTGTAGCTAATTTTGGCATGTGCTTTAATGGAGAGGGACAGTACTGTTTTGTATTTTGATACCTAGAAGGAAATCCATAGGATTTCAGAGAAGCAGAAATCTCTGTTTTACTTTTTATGGTGTTAGAGAAGAAATACAGGACCTTGTATTTGTCAGGGAGGTCGGCCATTCTTCTGAGCCACATCCCGAGTCCTTAGCAGTGTGTATGGAAGAGTTATTTATGTATTCTAAATATGGTGGGCTCCTGAATGCCTTTTACGTTAGAGATTCCACTGTGAACTGTTCTGAGTGTTGAATGAGATAACATGATGGGAAGCCCCTAGCATCACGCCTGGCATGGAGTTTCTTGCACATGTCTGTCACATAGTGTTTTCCCCCAAGGTCTTGGGACTTTGTTGGAGATCAGTCGCTACAGATCCGGACTCTCAGTTCCATTCCATGTACTGCTGTCTGTCTCTACACCAGGACCACGTGTCTTTTATTGCTGGAGCTGTGGCGTATGAAGTTGGGAAGTAGGAATCCTCCCACCTGTTCTTTTTGAGATGGTTTTGGTTATTTAGGGTCTTTTGCATTTACATATAAGTTTTATATTCAACCTTTCAATTTATATACTAAAAAGCCTTGGATTTTGACAACATATATTGTGCTGAATCTGCAGAACAGTTTGGAAAACGCTGCCATCTTGGGGCTGGAAAGATGGGTTAAGAGCACTGGCTGTCCTTCTGTAGGACCTGGGTTCAATTCCCAGCACCCACATGGTGGCTAACAACTGCCTGTAACTCCTGTTCCAGGGATCTGACCCCCTCTGTGCGCATTGCATGCATGTGGTACACTTATATACATGCAGGCAAAACAATCGTACACATAAAAATAATAGATTAAATATTAAAAAAGAAAATGCTGCCATCTTAATACATAATGCTTTCCAATCATGAACATGGGTGTTTTTCTGTTTCTTTACTTCTTTCTTTGAAAGTTGTTTTGTAGTTTTGTACTTCTTTTGTTAAATTTACTTGTGTTTTATTTCTTTTGAGATATTACAAGTAGAACTTGGGAGATTGATTTTTGACTGTTTGTTGCTAGTATGTAGAAACAAGTTGAGACTATGTCCTACAACCTGGATGGATTCTTTTCCTTCTAATAGTTTTTCTGTAGATTTACTTAAATTTTCTGAGTATAAGACCATGGCACCTGCAAATGGAGGCATTCTGCTTCTTTCTTTGAACCTGGATGACTTTCCTGGGGCCCCTTTTAAATCAACAAATCAAGCTAGTCGTCATCTTCTGAAAGGAAGAAAAGAATGAGATCCAGAATGGTTGTATTTAATACCTTGCAGACTGGTTCATTTTTTTATACTAACTTTCTGTTAAGCTTATACACTGGTACCTTAAACTCTGAGTAATGATTGAGTTTTAGGGGTTTGACACAGTAGCTTATCTACCCCAGGCTGGCCTTGAACTCTCAAGTCTTGGCTTTTGTAGCCATGATTCCTGCCTACTGAATTCAAAAGGGAAGTTTTTCTCATTTTATTTTGATTTAAAAAATTTTATAATTTCAAGGGAAATCTATAATGGATATAACATAAGAAAAAGCTCAGACTATATTAATAGCTGATATTAATATCTAAATTTTTATTAGCAGCTTGCCTATATTACCCATGTCCATATATTCATGTCCAAAATTGTTTTTGTCTTTAACAGCTCTGGAGTGCGTTATTCTGAAACCCAAGTTCTATTAAAAACAAACATGCAGTATGAAAATAATGGAAACTTAAAATTATCATCCGTGCATTAAAGTCATTATGTTAACAAATTCTTGTAATGACAAATGTCGATCCAAATTAGGATTAAGAAATCATTTGGACTTTTTGACAAGGCATTAATTTTTTATTATAATTAAAATTTTTCTCTAGCAAAAATAATAGCGTGACCATTAGGTACAGCTAATACAATAATTTTTTATTTGTTTGTTTTCTTGAGGCAGGGTCTCCCTGTAGCCCCACATGGCCTGGATCTCGCTGTGTATACCAGGCTGGCCTCAATCTCACAGAGATCTGCTTGCCTCTGCCTCCTCAATGCTGTACGGTTTTAAAAAGAACAATTAGTAAGTTGTTAGGAACCAGAAGCATGGTGTGAGAACATGTTGTTTCTAACAGGATGAAGCAGGAGTGCTGACTCTTTCCTGGGCCTTTTCATTTTCGTACTTTTTGTCCTGTTACATTATAAAGAGCCTCATGGAGGGAAAAAGGTGGAAGAGAAATGTGGTCAGTGCAGCAGAGGGAGAGTAATCTTCAGTACCAGGCTGGAACTGGGGTGAGAAGCGTAGGTTGGTGAAATGCTGAATTCCTAAGTGTCAGCACTGTTTTTATAATCAAATTTTATGCTTCAGTATTTATTTCTCCTGTTAAATCCTTTTTGATTATACTTAGCCCTTAACAAATATTTGGGGAAAAAAAGAATTTTTACAAACCAATTAGCTTGAGTTAAGAAAGCATTATGCCAGCACGAGAATTTTATCGTGACCTCTAAAAGTGCACAAGAGAGAGCATACTCAATTTAGGTCCGTGGAATGTTTTTTAAGTTAACAAATAAGTAATGGCATCACCTATGGGAAACCCCGTCCCTAGCCATAGCTGTGAGACACTCGTGTGCTAATGTTGTTTTGCTGTTTATTGTTCCACAGATTCAGATGGTAGGATTAACTCTGGACAGATTGCTTATATTTCTTCGAGGAGCTGCTCTATACCAGATGAGAGCTATGGCTGCCTGTCTTCGAACATTCCTGCCTTAGAACTGATGGCTTTGTATGTGGCAGCCGCCATGCACGATTACGATCACCCGGGAAGGACAAATGCGTTTCTAGTGGCTACAAATGCACCTCAGGTAGGGAATAATTTTTTAGAAAGTAAAGAGTAATTCTAAAAGTACACAACCTGCTGCATAGCTCTATAAACCACCCTTCACTGAGCCATGTAGCCATTGTGTCTTTGGCTAATAATACTCTGCACTGCAATCAGTTGGATGAAAACACATAATGAAGGCTAAGGGAATTAGGAAAAAAGCAACTTTCTTCAACTAGGAAACAGTAAATAGTTTATGAGATTACTCCATGTTTCATGAAATTCTAGGGAGCTTAGTGGAAATATTTTTGCCTTTGATCAAATTGATAAAAACTCTGACCATATCTAAAATATTTGTTCTTTCTAGCTGGATTTATAATAAGTAAGGGTAAAAGCTGTAGCAGTTAAGGGTAACATTAATGATTCATTCCAGCCACTCTCCTTCTGAGATTTGTCTTAACACCTGGACGTTCAGTCTCTTAGCTATGAATGTATTAGTGTACTAAGAATGTTTTCTTGGACTGGTGAGATGGTTTGGCAGGTAAAGACATCTGCCTCTCAAGCATGATGACCTGAACTTGAACCCTGGGATTCACATGGTGGTAAGCTAGAACCAGTTCCTGCAGATTGTCCTCCAACATGCCTGTGTCCTTCCTTTCCCCATACATGAATAAATAAATAGAAATGTAATAAAATTCTTCTGGTTTGATATGATTTTGTACACAGTATAACTGATAAAGTGCAGAATTCTATAGAGTCACATCACAACTGAGATAAAGTAGTCCGTGTCCCGTCAAAGAGCCCTGGAGCTGCAGAGCCTCCAGACACACAGGCTTGCAACCAAGCGTGTGGTTTTAAGGAAATTTGGTGTACTCTGGGTGTATGATGGAGAGTGCTGCGGGGTTGTGTGTGTTTTCTAGTCACACCATTTACAAGACGTAGGCACTTGTTACTGTTTCTGATGCCCTCGTCTGTCTTCTTTGCTTTGTTGCTCTATCTGAACCTTGGTTCTTGCCTTTCCATCATTTGTAACCATTTTCCACATCCCCTTTCACCTGTCTCTCCTTCAAGCACTTGAGCTTTTTAAAATATAGGAGGCAGATTCTCTTACTCCAAAGTTTGGTGGTTGGAATTTAGAGATGTACGTATATGTGCGTATGAATGTTTATTTTGTGTGTGTGTGGAGGGGAGACAGAGAGACAGAGATGGAGACAGAGAGAGATGGGTTTGACAGGCCATGCAGTTTATTTTTCCATTGATAGCTCATGGTTTCTACAGTAGGCTTCTGATACATTAAAATTGAATTATTCTTATGTACTTAACTTTGTACTTGTTATTTAGGGAGAAACTGCCCTCTGAGCGGTACATATTTGCAGTACCATTCTACAAAGTTCAGATGCCCACTCTAACTTACCACATTATGTGTGACTTGCCCATTTGGTGAATCATAAACCTGGAGAAAGTAGCACAGTGGAAAATCAGTGGATTGGATTCAAGAGGCTTGCATTTGATTTCTGATTGCCCACTCATTAGGTGTGTGGCCCAATATAAAAGTTTATCCCTCTGGAGCTAGGGAGAGGGCTCAGCTGTTTAAGTGCCTTTTTCCTAAACATGAGTACCTGAGTTAGGCTCCCCAGAACCCTCTGTATAAAGCTAGGCACAGTGGAGTATTCCTTTTACTCTAGCTCTAGGGGTGGGTTTAAGTGGGGACAGATGGGTCCCTGAAACTTGCTGGGTTGGTCAGTCTAGCCCAACAATGTGTTTCAGAGAGTTCACTGAGAGACCCCATATCAAATATATAGAATGATCAAGAGATGTTGACTGTCAACCCCCACATACACCTGCACACGTGTGTGTACCCACCCAAATGAATAAGAACATAAAGTAGACCACACCATACTACACATAAAGTTTTCTCTCTGAACCAAAAAGCATATGTGGTATGATTAAGGGTACAAGTAGGAATTAAAGTATTTGATAACATATAAAGAGACAAAATATAAAAAGTATTTTTCTATTAAAAAAAAAACTGTTACTCCGACAAAATACTCCAAACAATCCTAAAAAGAGAAAAGATTCACTTTTGCTCACCGTTTCAGTTCATGGGTTAGTGGGCCTCAGTGCTTTGACGCCTACATGGAGGCAGCACACACATCATGATGAGGAGTGTGTTTGTGAAGCAAAACTTGTCTCATGGCAACCAGGAAGAGAGCAGCATTTCACAGGCCTTTTCAACGGCATGCACAGTGACCTAAAACCTTGCACTTGGGCCCGTCTCTTAAAGGATCACTACCTTTCAGTAGTGCCTCGCTAAGGACCACACCATTAACACACAGGCTCTGGGGGTATTGCAGATTCAAAGTGTAGCAGAAAGTGTTCTGTTCCAGGTGTCAGGAAGCACTCTGAAATCGGGTACCATGTGGACAGCATTAAAACAGTGCCACGTAAACACAGCTTATACAAAGTACACACAGCAGTTGTCCTGGTCAAAACACAGGCATAGTCTGGAATGACATAGCTCTGCAGCTGTGGGTTATATGACTTTGGGTTTTTTTTTTCATGTGAGGAAAAATGTTGGAGACTGTGGTTACTGATTGCAATTAAAATGTTTGCTTGTAGATTATTGAAAGTATACTTGTTCTGTATTCAGAGGGACATGGATATGTTTAAGTATATTTGCCTCTTTTACAGAATATTTTATAGGTTAAGATAGTAGATTTAAAATGATACAAAAGTGTTTTATTATTATAATGGCAATCATTTTTAAACCTAAGGCTAGGGTTTCATAGTTGTCTATTTGAACATTTTGCATATGTCAAATCACAAATATAAAGGTATATTGAGTTTAGTAAAAAACAATGTGAATGATAAATTCAGTAGCTGAGGAGCTATCTTTTCCTGCTCGTGAGCCATGTACTCGGAGCACATTCACCTTTTCAGGACAAATCGTATCCAAACTGAGGCAGTGACTCAACACATGCATTTGTCCCCTCAGACCTCATTAAAATGGTAGTAACCTGTGAAGCTTATACCAGAGAGGAATAGGTAAAAGCGTCTGAATCGCTAGTAGACCAAAAAATTTGATAACGTTTCTAGAAAGTGGAAAACTAATGGGTGAATGCTGATAAATGAAGCAGAAGTATGCCAGACGGGGCCACAGCACAGCTGGGCCCCTCAGCAACTTCTAAAGCCCTTTGCTCATGCTGCCCTCCTGCATACACACATGCATGTACAGATACACATACACACATGCACACATACCTTTCCTGGCAGAGCTGCTCTAAGGCCTGTATTTACCTCCAGGCAGAAGACTCTCTCTTAAAATATTGAAGGAAACTGCCTGGAGGAACACAGCCTGTGCGTGGGGGTCAGGTGACAACTTGGTGGGAACCAGTGTTCTCCTACTATATAGGCTCCATGACTGAATCCAAGTGTTGGGCTTTTTGGCATCTTGCCAGCCCACAGTTCATTTGTTTTGTTTTGTTTTGTTTTGTTTTTTTTTGGTCTTTTTGAGACAGGGTCTCCCTGTAGCCCCGGCTGTCCTGGAACTCACTATGTAGACCAGGCTGGCCTCGAACTCACAGAGATCCACCTGCCTCTTCCTCCTGAGTGCTGGGATTAAAGTTGTGCGCCACCACGCCCTGGTCACAGTTTATTTTTATATCAACAGGTTACTCAGGATCGCCAGACACAGGGACTTTAACCAGAAGTGTGGAAAGTAAAGGCTAAGTAAACAGTAATTTACCAGACAGAGGGAAGATAATCTAGAGGATAGGAAAGTAATTAAAAGTCTTCTCGGGGCTGGACGGGTGGCTCACCAGTTAAGAGCACTGGTTGTTCTTGTAGAGGATCCTGGGTACAGTCCCCAGCACCTACATGCTAGCTAACAACTGTCCATAACTCCAGTTCCATGGGATCTGACACCCTTTTCTGGCCTCCATCGATATTACATGCACATAGAACACTTATGTACATGCGTGCAAAACAGTCATACACATAAAATTAAATAAATTTAAAAATTTAAAGTACTTTTAGAAAATTTGAGGACTTATTGTGTCTCTAAAAAAGAAACTAGGAAATAAACAGTTCTGAAAAAAGCAGCACCAGAGAACAGTCAGGACATTTTTAGAAACTAAAATTATTACTATAAGCTTTTAGAATGTAAACATTGGAACTGAATATCCAGGTAATGTTTCTTGGGGTATAAATTTTTTTAAATTATTTATTTAATAACCACATACTTAGAAGAAGCATTTCATTACAACAGCATTGACATATTCAGTAACAGTTTCCAGAGCTAAAATGCATCTCAAAATTGGCTGTAAATTTTTAGGTTTACAGTTGAATTATTACAGTTATAC